GGGAGGGGGGGGGGGAACAACATATTCAGAATAGATAAATGAGAGCGCTATTTCAATATATGCCTTGAAATTTTTTAATTTAGTGGCAGAACGGGGGGTGCACGTGTTTCCCCCTTCTCCCTACTGGATCCGCCCCTGATCAATTTGGCAATTTTTGTACATAGGCCTATAGACCGATAGACCTTTAACATTACCAAAATGGGAAGCGTAAGACCCAAGTCCCTATTTTATCTTCTTGTGATCTGAGACAGACAGTCGTTTCTTTCAACATCATGCACCAACCATAGGCCTATTAGCCCTGATCATTAAAATTTAAATTCGCATAGAAATAGGTTGTGAATTTTATATTCATATTAAATCGCTTCACTGTAAATAAACACTAATTGCAATCCTATATAATTCTGGAATATAATGGACATCGAAAAGTTCCATTCCCCTTAAACTCCCGTTTGATGTTCCCAAATTTAATTGTTTATTCGCGATTCCACAGTGAGTAGGCCTAATCCTTTTATCTATTGGTTTCATACCGGTAGTACATCTTCCCACCGCTTCCTGTGCCCGGCAATGTCAATACCGCATATTATAAGCTGTTTCTGTCTCAACACCCCGATACAACCTGAACAAATAAGCATAGGAATAAAATAAAAAGACGTCATGAATATATTATGGAAATTTGAAAGTCCTTCGGAGAGCTTCTAGATTTGACCATGTCAAATCGGGAAATTGAAGGTTTAAAGAGTGAATATGCTTAAACAGGTCCATGCTTAAACTAATAGTACACCGTGTACGTAGTAATAATAATAAATGAACACATGCTGGTATCCGTCAATAAATAACTCTCACGGCGTTTAAGTAGATTAATTAAGTTGATCATTCTCATTATTTTATTCTACAGATGTAAATTCCGAAAAAGATGACTGATTGTTGCTTATTTAATAATTGATTAATTAAGTCATTATTATTTAATTGATTACTGTTACATTTTTGTTGAAAAAATGAGCAATGATTCGTGGGGAGCGGGCATTAGTCCTATGAACCCATTGCGTCACAACGGAAAATCAGAAATGAATATGCATGAACCCATAATAAATTAAGCTGCCCTCTTTGTTATTATGCTACTGACTTCAATTCCGAAACATGATTGATTTATTGATTGTGAATAATACAAAGATCGGTAGATAAGCGAATATAGCACTTTACAATAATAAAATAATAAATTAGGCATGACAATTATTATGTTCATAACTTTGCACAATACCAACTTTGTTAATATTATGCATATTTATTGAGGGATTCACAAAATGGCAGTTTTTACATGATATTGTGGTAGAATGCCAATTTTTAAAAATTAACACTTCAATATCAGAGTGACATAGGGAGCTTTCGCAAGCTTACAAAAACGATAAGGAATACAGTACGGTACGACATCAAATTTTTAGACAATCCTTCCCCTGTCACATAGGCGATTCATATTAAGCTCGTACACCATATTGACAAGAATAATTTAGGCATGAATGACGACAATGATAATAACGTATTTATTATCTTTTTGTAAGGATGAAAAAATCTCCCTAATATCACTATATCCATAGTAAATTTCACGAATATTTCACTATTTAAAAAATAAAGTTCAATCGTGTGGCAGTCTTTTACAGTGTAATTCACTATTATGCATTGCATTTAGTGATAACAAAATCGTACATTCTTCCGAGGATATTTTTATTTCTTCTGAAATTTCATGACAAAAAATATCATGGGCAAGGGTTCAAGAAGCATGTTCTTTTATATACTTGACTATCAACCACCACATTCAATATTCACCACATAGAACATTCCAATTAATATGTGCACAATGCAACAAGTTGAGTAAAATGTTAGTATGTTATACCTTCAATAAGACACAATAATAAAGTCTGATCATACATCTTTCCATACTATCACATTTTACTTGACAAAAGCGTGATATACCTGGTATGGTCACGATGACATCACATCATTGACCATATATAGAAACATCATGACTATATATGGGGGATACAACAGTTTTTTTGTCAAAGAAAGTTGTATCGTGTGGACTGAGCTAAAAGCTGGGCACACACTGATGTTTCGTACAACATTCATACAATCACCGGCCGATGCACCAACCTCCGTGAGCGCTTGAAGATGTAAAACTCTCTGGTGATTGTCGGTGGTAGTCTGAATGTGATAAAAACAATACATTGGACTCTGGTCTGGTGGCGCTCTCCATGGAAATAACCATTGCAGCAGTGTGTGCTCACCTTTAGTAGTATATACCTGATTTAAACTGCTCTCTCTGCAATTATTTTGATACATATATTAAAGCCCTGTCCAAACTATCATATTTTATTTGACAAAAACATGTGACATGCCTAAATATGGTCATGATGACATCACATCATGACCATATATAGGCACATCATGACTATATATGGGCATACAACAGTTTTTTTCTCAAAGGAAATTTGATAGTGTGGACAGAGCTTAAGGCTAAATCTTTGTCCACACTAACAGGTTTTAAGGTGACATATCAGTGATTTGCCCATATATGGCCATGATGATGTCATATGACACCCATATAAGAGACTGTCACAGGTATTCTGTATGTAAAACTTGATATAGTGTGAATGGAACATAACAGAACTTATACATTTATGAAAGTAAATACAGTATATTATATAAATTTTGATCATATAATGAGCTGATTGATAACCCTACCAATTCATTCATTTAACAAATTATAGTTTTAAACAATAAATAATATTTGATATACTAAACTGGCTTCAGACAAAGGAAGCCAAGTAAATAACAAACACCAACTCTTTTCAACTATGCAACTAATTCCAATCAAGAATTCCACTTTAATAGCCAACATCTAAACCAGAACATACTTTAACACTTTAATCTAGAGAAGCTATTAACAGATGCTTGGTTTCATCTTGATACAATAACTTCTCTTAAAATTGATACAATTTATTTGGTTAAAATCATTTTTTTTGTTTTGTTAATATAAAATTAATATAAACTATCCTATATTCTATTTATTAACACAGTTCAATTTATTTTTAAATATGTGAATGAGAATATGCCATCAAATATGTATTAAACAATCGTATCAAACATTGTGCGTTTACTGTACTTCATATTTTGAAAAGTAATAAAATATTGCAAAATTAAGCTCACATTTATGTACTAAAATGGATTCATCTTGTTGTAATTACACCTGAGTTTGTACTTTTATAAGTAGGTGGAATTCCAATATAGGATTATTACTATAACTAGCTATTGGGTGGGTCTGTTTATTATGATTACAAAGCACAGAAAGCATTGGAGAGTGGCATAGCTGTCATCAATGATGTCACTGATGATGTCATCAATAATGGATGTCACCAATGGTGTCATCATTTGCATACTGTCATGTGTATAATAATTATTATTGTAGCAATAACATTTCTTTCCTAGTCCATGTATTCAATCTTTTCACAGATTGTGTTGGTAAATGCAGAACAAGTGGCATTTCCTCCAAGATCGCCAGTAAGAAACTGTGAAAAAAGCAGAAAAAATAATCTTTAAAGACAGATGTTTTATTTCATTTTTGCTTTACTATTTACACCTAGTGGAGCATATGGCTTCTATAATAATAATAATAGGGAGCTATCGATTGCACAACAACGATAGGATGTAGAACGTAATGACGTCACCAAAAGTCATCTGCGCATGCGAGAAATTTAAGGTCACCACGTCGAGTAGATTCTGGAACGCAATTTGGCCAAATCTACGTATGCAGAGAACCAAGGACGCCAGGTAGGACGGTCACGCATAAATGATTCTGTTATAGCTCCCTAATATGATGCTCTTTTGTGGCTTTATAAGCCTCAAACTTTATCAGCAACAGGTCAGTAATTATTTCCTGATGAGGCCAATAGCAATAGCATAAACAAATTAAATGTGTCTTGTCAATATTCGACAAATATTGCAAGACAATCTAGGCATAACCTGGAGCCTAGCAGAAGCAATCATAGACTAGAGGTTTTCTAGGCCTGGGCATGGTAATAGCTAGTAGTGGGTGAGCTCACCAATCAATTGTTTCCATGAAATTGCTACTGAGAGTTGTTGACTGTCAGCAACAGTTTGTAGCGATTGTACCATCATCATGTAAAGCCTGGACCCCAGGCTTTAAATAGACCTCTGGTAGCCTAGACTCTATATGAGGCCTAAACAGTCTAGACTTTGTTGTCCCTATTACTTGCATTTTCGATTCCCTGAATGTAAGTCCTGCAAATTAGGTATGGTACCAAGAAATTTGGTGCATTTACCTGGCCCTCTCTGATCACAGCTAAAGCAGCAGCTTCTATCCTATTAGCATGATCCCCTAGGCCCATGTGTCTTAGCATCATCACAGCACTGAGTAGCAAAGCAGTTGGGTTTGCTTTATCCTGTCCTGCAATGTCCGGTGCAGTTCCATGTACCTACAGTATAAACAAATTAAGTCATCAGGTTATATACAGTACAGTGTTAATAAAATGAATTAAAAGCGTGCATATATCCAAGAAACCTGCCACTATTTGTGACCCTTTGTAGAAAAATTCAAAATTTAGTTTTTTGGTGTTTTTAGATTCTGCATGAATTCTTTAAAACAGTGTTTATTTGATGGAAATTGGTTGAGTATCAGCAAAGTTATAAATATTTAATTCATTGGCTATCAGCCATGTTGGTTTTGCCAAAAAACAGCTTCCAAAGATTCCAAAATCAATAGTTAATTATAAAGATTTTTTTTTCAAAATAATTTTGATATACTTTTCAGTTAGATTTAGTGATTGATATTTTGCAGAAATGTTCTTCAATATATCTTTTTATAAAATGCAAGAATGTGAAAATGTTTTGGGTGCTTGTGGAAAATTAGAAATTGCAACGAACAGTGGGTTTTTCCAGAGCTGGTCACATTTAAGGAACAAACTTAAATCATTTTTAAAGTTATTTCGGGCACTACTTGAAAATATTGAGCCTTAGCCACCATTAATGCTTTCAAATATTGCTTTCCAGCCTTGTGCACCTTCAGGCAAGTTTTTTTCAGGAAATAACATTTCCTTTGGGTCATTACTTTTCAATGTTGCCCTCAAAACATTCTATGAATTACTTTTTATTGTTATTATGAAAGAAAAGGCACTTGCTTTTGGCAGAATTATTTGGATGTAAATCAAATAACATTCAGACCATATAGTGTAGAACTTACAGATTCAAATATTGCTACTCCATCTTGACCAATATTTCCACTTGGAGTAACTCCCAAACCACCTATCAATCCTGCACACAGATCACTAAGAAAAAACAAAGAAACATAATGTGATAATCAAATAATATTAATCAAATGGAACATTATCTTTCACATGCCTCCCCATCCCCCTCCAAAAAAACAAAAATCACCCTAGTACAGTTACTACATCTTAATTGGCAGAACTACTGATAGCATAGCTGTAACATAATTCTATATAAATAACCTCCTGGGGTCATTAATTACACCCTCATCATAGACATGGCATGTTGGCATACATTTGCTTTAATTCGAGTGTTCACTTTCTCTGCTAGTGTTCCTCTAAATTTAGATGGAGAAAGATTCATGTGATTTAGTTGTCCATCAACAGATGTTGCACATTATGCTCTCCCTTTCCTCTCATCAGTTTCTAATTCTAGCATAGTAATTCTCAAATAATATTAGTGTCTTTAAAAAGTTGTATCACTCCAAGGTGTTGTGTTTGTAAATTCATAAAGCTGGACATCTGATATTTGTTGAAGTCATTTGATGATAAGTGTACCTCCTAATATTTTCCTGTGATATGTGTACATTCCACTAGATATTCTGCGATTTACATTTTGATACGATGACATTATAAAGGCTTTACTAGCTAGACACCTATCAGAATACTTTACTATAAGGAGAATAGCATTCTATGTAAATTAATTAGTACAGAAAAATAATTTACTACAAACCTTAGAATATCCCCATATAAATTTGGCATGACAAGAACATCAAACTGTGTGGGATCTTGCACCATCTGGAAAAAATGAATGAGATCAGATGCTAAGCTAATTCTTTCCCATAATAACACTTGCCAATTCCGGATGCAATGTGATTTTCTGGAACTAGACATTGATTTAAGCATCCCATTCTTTTTACAGTGAAAAGGAAATGAGGTAGATAATGTAGTACTGGATGTTCTTATACTGGTTTAAGAATTGTTTAAATAAAAGAACTGGAAATTGTTGGTTTAAGTCACTATAACTACCTGGTTTATGCAAGTAAGTACTATACCAGTATTCACAAAAACATTCAAATATACCATATTGCAAATAAGGCTTATATAAACTGGAAAGCTCCATTGGCCAAAACTAAACCAAAAAAAAAACAAAAACAAAAACAAAAACAAAAAAAAAACTCTTGAGTAATGGCAGGTTTATTGTAACAATCAAATAACTGCACACTTTCATTTATCACCTTTTTCGAGCTTAATGGAGGTTAATGGTTGGTTTGATGACAAACACAATTAGTACAGAACTTACATTTAAACAAACTGTATCTAAGTACATCTCGTTGAAACGAATATCGCGATGTTTCTCTGCTGTTTCTCGGCAACACTTTAGGAACAAACCATCAGACATTCTCCTGTAAATGATAATGTCATGATAACTTATGTCTTTATTATAATGTTCACATCATATAAATGCAATTTTAAAGTACACTAACATTGTCAATAATAATTCTCCGAGTATAAAATTCCAATTCCAATAATGCATCTTTTCCTTTAAAAAAATCTGACGCATGTAGACCTAAAAACTGTAGGTAGGATGTTGATAACACTGCAAACATACAAAGAAAATCCAATAAAAATATAACCTCCTTGTGGAGGCAATAATAATAATATGTAATAGAAAATAGCAAAATAATGAATTAACTTAATTAATCCTTACTGATGGACCACTTGACCACACGACCCAATTTATGTGACTGACACCTGTGATTTGCCCATATTTGTCACATCAATCTTGATAGCGTGTGGGCCCAGCTTTAGTGACAAACTACATGATCATTGGTGAGAATAAAATAAACAACAGATTAATTTAAAATACTTATATGTGGTTGCTTACATAATATTAGCCTTGTGTACAGCTGTAACTGTGGTTCTATTGTTGGCCTTGGCATACTCAAAGGCAAACTCAGCCACCCTACTTGAAGCTTGCTCGGTAATAAGTTTAATACTTTGCACAACTCCGTCAACAATCTGCAAAGTTAATTAAACAACACTATAGGTTAAAGCAATGCCAAATCCAAGTATACGCTAATCAATCGTGATGTTGGTAGTCTAGGGGCCTGTTTCTATACTGACGAGAAAGAACCGTTCTCGAAAAGAATGGTTCTTTGTTGCAGTAGAAACGGGGGCCAAAAAAAATGATGATTTTTTTTGGCATCCCAAAGAAGGGTTCTTTAGCACAGAATCAACACCATGCCGGGGACACCAAAGAACCATTATTTCATCAAAAGAACCTTTCTTTGTGGAGTAGTTTTTTAGCTGCAACATAAGTAGCGGCCTAATTTGACCTAAGTTAAACTTTCCAGTATGCTAGGCCTAATGTCTTGTACAACTAGAATTGTTGAAGGGATGTAATTGAAAGTTCATTTTTATCAGACTTTGAAAAATATTTCTCATATCAATAATTGAGGCATCCTACATGATTTTACCTTTGGAAGTTCTTTAATAATGATCAAAACTGTCGCAATGTTCCACTTGTCTATCCAGTGATACAGTTAAATTTATTATTACCAGCAATCAGTAAAACAAATGTCAAACTTCTGTTCACAACACAATGAAATATCCTCTTTTTTAAAGTAATGTAAGAACAAAAGTTTAACCATAATTGTTTTATTTTAATACTGACATGGTACTTGGATAGGACGAATCATCATAATAAAAATATTGCTGTTTTGTTAAAGCTTTTATACAAAGGTCATTAAATAAATTGCATTCTGGGAAATTGTTACGTCATGTGGAATATCAGTCTGGTAACCGTTTCATGTGGAGTGCAAAATGCAGTTGGTTCATATCTTGCTAATCCAATAATCAACAAATGATAAGAGCACCATTTCTTTCTCGATATTCAGTAGAAACACACCCTATGAGTGAGACACTTACCTGGATAACATTCCCTATCTAGATCTCTAGAGGATGAGGATTTGTGGCACCCTGCTTAGTCGACTGTTCTATTTTATTCGAAGGGGTGTTTCATTTGGGAACAAAGGCAATTAGTCGATTTATCAAGTATTGGTGAAAAAGACTCATAATTTAGCAGAGAATGTTAAACACTACCAATGAATATAGCAACAGAGTATTATATTTAATGATATATTGTCGGTATTGAGCTAAACAAATTAAATGGTTAATGGTTGTATATTTCATTAACTGCAAAAATACCAAGGTCTCTAGGAAGCGCTTTAAATAAACAAGGAAACAGAACCGAGAATTTAATCTAGTCAAACTTTAAATCATTTACATACTTATCATCTACCTGTAGACTTGGACTTCACATTTGATTTAACAATCTGATCTTGACATGGAACATGTATACTATGACAGCACTCACTACAAACATGGTAAGTCATTCTCGTTGATATTTCATATTTTTTATTGATAAATATACAATGGTCACAAAATACAAAGTTGAAAGCACTAAGGCAGCTTTAAGAAAGAAAGTAACATGTTTATACAGTAATTAGGTAGCATTAATTGCTGATTAATCATCTCCTATGTACCTGTATATTACTGTAGCTAAATGGCTATCAAATCGAAGTTCAAAAGTTCAAAGTACTTTTATTGTCAATAATACAACAGGTAAAATTGAAATTTGATTTCCTCAGATACACAAAGGAGACATAAAAAAAAAATAGATCAATTACAAGAGCAAAAACACAGAGTACAGAAAAATTTTTAAAATCTTTACAGAGAAAAATTACATCAGAGTTGACATAATTAAAAATACAGCAGTTTAACCCTTTCCAGTCTGCCCCATTACCATTGCCTGAGGCTGTACCAAAGCTGAGAAATTACATCATCTACACTAAATGTTGGGTTTCTAATGGGTGCAGGCATTTTATTTGGTCTGAATATAGGAGGCTCTCTACAGAAATACTCCTACATCACTCTCAAACAATCCTACAGAGGGCAGCCTAGCTATAAAAAAATTATCATGAAATCTATACAGGGCGTACATACGACACCCCTCGCTATAAATTATGGTCAAAGAGGGAGTCCTCACGACGCCATATGACTGGAGAGGGTTAAACATCATCAGTTTAATTCTATTCTTAATTAAATTTACAAAATATAATTCCAGAGAATGACAGCAAAGTTAAAATAATGAAAAAAAAAAAAACTAGAAATTGCAAATTGCAAGTGAAGTGCTGCGAAGTACAACTGCATAAAATGTTCTTCGAACAAAATTATTTATGCGAGTCAAGTGAAAATAATGAATAATAAAAATATAACAAATAATATGAGCATGACCCATTGTCTATATATTATTAGAACAGCGTTGGTACAATAGTGTTATTATTAAAAAGTTAAAAAAAAAACATAATAATTAAAAAAATTGCAGTTTAAATATCATTAGTTCAATTTATTTCTTAATTTTATAAAAAAATATATACAGAATATTCCAAAGTAAGACATCCAAGTATAAAAAAAATAAATAAATAAAAAAATAATTTATTAAATAAAATATTACAGTTTACAATAACTAATAAAACTAGCAATATTTAGTAATATTTGCCGAATTTACATTAAAAAGCAAACCAAGTGGGCGCCATTAGCAAAGGTGTTAGCCTGATACCTAAATCTAGATCATGTCTTCCTCACTGAGATATTTGTGTTAACTTTTAACCTACCCTCATGATGTTTGGACTTCATAGTGATCGTGGAAGCAACGACTTCGACTTTGGTTTGAAAAATTATGTCATATTACTGCATAGCTAAATGGCTATCAAATTAAAGTTCAAAAGTTCAAAGTACTTTTATTGTCAATAATACAACAGGCAAAATTTAAATTTAGTTTCCTCAGATACACAAAAGAGACATAAAAAATAGATCGATTACAAGAGCAAAAACACAGAGTACAGAGAAATCTTGAAAATCTTTACAGAAATAAATTACATCAGAGTTGACATAATTAAAAATATAGCAGTTTAAATATCACCAGTTTAATTCTATTCTTAATTAAATTTACAAAATATAATTCCAGAGTAGAATAGCAATGTTAAAATAATGAAAAAATAAATAAATAAATAAATAAATAAAATAAAATAAAAAAATATTATTATTAAAAAGTTTTAAAAAAACCATAATAATTAACAGAAGTTTAAATATCATTAGTTCAATTTTTTTTTCTTAATTTTATAAAAATACATACAGAATATTCCAAAGTAAGACATCCAAGTATAAAATAAATAAATAAATAAAAAAATAATTAATTAAATCAAATATTACAGTTTACAATAACTAATAAAATTCACACGAATTTGTTAAATATCCATAGCTTCCAGGGGGCAGAACACCCTGGGCACCCCACACCCCAGCCTAAAATCTTGATTCACTCACATGCCATAGGGAACAAAAACCTAATAATTTTTTCTCTGCTACGTAACCATTATACATGTATACGTCATCCTACCCCTCAAGGGCTGCATATTATTTACTACCTAAAATCATAATCACAATTTTTAACGTTCGCAAGGGAATTACGTATTAGTTTTTAATGTCAATAGTAAGTTGACTATTGGTAATGAAACCTGTTTTTCTAGATTCACAACATATAAAATATTTAGTAAAACAATGGCAGTTAAACAGGTCAATCTCTTATGATATGGATGTGGGATTCCAATTAGTCCCAAGCATGCTGAATATAGCCTTAATGAGCTTTTAGATCAAATGGATTGGAATTCTTTGTTGTGTTTTGACCCCTTAAAGCATATTTCCACTAAAGACTGTTTTCCACTAGGTGACGAATGTGTTCGCGCGAATCAAAAGCGTCGGTTTGCTTCCTGAGCTCTGATTGGTAGCGCATTTTTTCAATTCGCAAAAAGTAGGAACAGTCGAACTGTCAATTTTGCTGAAGCAAAAAACACAGATAGAAATGTGAATGAGCATGAGCCGACACTTTTGATTTGCGCGAATATATTCACCTAGTAGAAAACAGGCTTTAAGTTCTTCTGGTGGTGAATTGGGCAGTATTCTATGACACGAACCCTGTTTTTTTTTTTTTTCAAAGTGTGTCTGCATTCTTTAACATGCACATGAACCATTCACATGGCCAAAATGATGGTGGGCAATTGAACCTGCTAAAGTCTGGAACAAACTACCAGCTGATATCAAACATTCGCTCTCAATTAACTCTAGTCTAGGTATAAGTCTTAAGTATTTTCCTGATGTATCATATTGTATTACTTTTCTTTGACTGGACCACAGCCAAAAAACAGGTTCATACTTGACTGTGAAATCCTGTAAATATATTATTTATTAGAAATTGCAAATTGCAAGTGAAGTGCTGCGAAGTACAACTGCATATAAATGTTCTTCTAACAAAATTATTTATGTGAGTCAAGTGAAAATAATGAATAATAAAACTATAACAAATAATATGAGACATGACCCATTGTCTATATTAGAACATTTCTCATTAGGTAACAAAGTCGTAATTTTTCATTTTTGTCAAAAAGTGTCTATAGTGTGATGAATTATGGTTTAGGTTTTTTTTAATAAAGTTTCAAAAATTTCTATGTATGTGGAAAATGTAGTTGATTACCAAAGGTTACAATTTTTATTTTGAAGACTGCATGGTCTAGGAAGTGTACATTTTTTTATGGGGCAAGTTTCCAAGGGCGGGTTTTCTGGGCGAGTTGACTACCAAAGAGTGTTGCCAAAGTGTGAGCCAGCGTGTTATTTGATCACAAGTGAGAGACATATCACAAGTGTGAGCCAGTGAGCCATGACGTCACGACAATAGATAGAGACGTTAGCCAGTTATGTGAGGTATCGGCTGAGTTTTGTGGAGTACAATTCAAAAAACAACTATAGGTCTAATAATGAATTATTGTGATGTTAAATAGACAATGTTATCTATCAAAGAGCGACGTTGTTTTTCATTGGGCCTTCGTCCCTTCAAGGGTAGGCCTATACCATCCTAGCTAGTCTAGGCCTAGAGTAGGATAAGGCTAGCGCGACATGCGGACGTTGGTACGAGTAGGTTAGTCTACAAACGTCGCCTAAAGTAATTGATTTTACCCGGCATAACGAAAGACGGAAACTCCGCTTTTCAGTTGTCTTAGGCACTCGTTTTTTGACAAACAATGACCTTTCAGAAGTCAAATTGCTGTCAAGAATATGAACTGGCTACTTCGCAGCAATTAGCAACCTTGCATTTTAGTCCTCTCTTACTGAAACTCAAGGAGTGCAATGATTGAACTAAACTATATACCAAGAATATTCAAAAATGAAAAAAAAAACATTGTGTTACTTAAGTCTGATGGACCCAAAATTCTGGAATATGGTTAGATTCTGGCATATACCTGTCTCTTATACACATCTAGATGTGTATAAGAGACACTGTCTCTTATACACATCTATACTTACATGATGTTTTAAATAACATGAATATTTGAGAAAAATGTATGTCCCCATAGGAAATTGAGCCCAAGGCCTTCCGAATACTGTTTGAATACTCTACCAACTGAGCTGTGAGGCCAAGTAGTATATACTGTATGCTTTGGATTTCCCCATTAGGACACATATTTTCCAAAGTGACTGCATAATACGCAATGAATTAGTAAATCACATGAAAGTAACTTTGGTATAGAGACAGTGGAGGTATATCGGCATACCAAAGTTATTTCATATATTTAATATAAATACTGCAGTATGAATGTCACTCCAAAAATTGACAAGGCCATATTATTCTGTTTCGCTTTCATTTAATCACCACCAGAAAAAATGCATAACATGTAAATTTAATACTGTAACCTAGATTTAATCCTATGATTATCATTTCATAAACCAAAAGGCATGAAGAGAGTTGCCACACAACAAATTTTTTTGGCCTATGCAAGGATCTCCACGGTTTAGCGCACACACACGTACACCCACACACACATACATTGGCTAACGTCAGTTTAGACTGCTCTTATATACCTTCATCCCATGTTTTCCACACAAATATGATGATGAGCATCGACAACAAAATCTTTAAATCTCTTCACCCAAGTAGTTCCATCCATCCACTTCCATGTGCAAGCCACCACTTTGCTATACCTAGCAATTTTACCAGCTCACAAACGATCTCCATCCCTCAAAGTCACAATTCACATCGAGTTCAAAACCAAATCAGCATTTTAAAATCTTACCGTATGTTCGATTCCACTATATTCCCCCTCAGTATTTTCTCTAATGGTCACCAAATCGACATCTTCATAGGGTGTCTTGTAGCCCTCTAATGATTTGCAAGGCCTAACATTTGCATACAAATTAAATGCTCTGAAAACAAAAAAATAGATTTACATTGGTAATGGTAATGGTTAAGTATTAAAGGTACTCTTACTGACCACTTGTTCGAAGACACCAAGCAATGTGCAAAGCGGTAGCAAAAGATGCACCATTGATATTATTACCGCTGAACAGACACTTCAAGACAGAGTTAAGTATGTATTTGACAATCAAAGCTCTATCAGGTCTATTCATATTTTTCAACTTGTATGTATGTATACTGACGAACTGCCTAATGGAAAATTAACAGCTCTGTGTTCAGCTGTTCTGACAATGAATTATCTATTAACTTCCTTCAGTAGTATGAGGTACTGTATGCGCCATGATAATACTGGATGAATGTATACGTTAAATAAATTAATTAATTAATAAATTTTATTTCATTTTTAAAAAATTTCATTAATTTTTTTTTTAACCTACCAAGCCTAGGCCCCTGTCGGGCCCAGACCCCAAGGCACTTTGCCCCATCTGCCCCAGGCCTCTTGATGCCACTGGTAATAATAATATAATTAATAGATAAAATACTCACTTCCTCAATGCTAAATTAAGACTCATGTGCCCCTTGCCAATAGGAGTTGCTAGAGGTCCTTTCAAGCCTATTTTGTTCCTATTCATAGACTCAATAGCTTGGGGTGGAATACTGGTTCGACCATCGGGTCCTTTGACTGGTGTGACATCAACTGTTTCCCAATCAATGGGCACCTGAATAAGAATGCATAAAAAGGTCACATAGAAAGGTCACATAAAAATGATTCTTAAATCCTATCCAGACTATGAAATTATATTTGACAAAACATGTGACATGCCTAAATATGGTAATGATGACAGCACATCATAACCTTATATAGGCACATCATGACTATATATGGGCATAAACTGTCTTTGTCAAAGGAAATTTGTGACCCAAGCTCACAAACAGGCTGTAAACTCGCACTGCACTGTATTGAGAAACAAGCCTCAATACCCAGAATAGGACGTGAATTTTGTGTGAATTGGGTTTTTATGTAATAAATAAAGTATAACTATTAATCTTACATCAGGAATCAACAATTCCTGAGGTTTGAGTTTAAAATTCCAACTGTGGGATGTAAAATTTAGCCATTTTCGGATGGGAGCTAATGAAAAATGAATAGAAACATGCCGAAAATAGAAGCATTTTTCTCAAAACTTGATTTAAGAAAGTTGATAAGATGACAATTATTCAAACGGTCATAACTTTGCTTCCAGACACCTGATTGAGTTCATTTAACTGTCATTTTAAAGTAAATGATATGTTCTATGCTATTATGACAAAAACTCCTTTTGGCCTGAGGACGAGTTTACAGCCCGTTTGTGAGCTTGGGTCACATATATTACCGACAATATCTGACAGACACTATCTGGTATGCCTGGCTTAGGAAACAATGTATTGTATGTTTTTTGATAAAATAAGGCACAACATGCCTTTAGACAAATACTACATGTTCTGGCAAATAGGCTAAGTTATAGCACAAATTGAAATTCAAGGTATTGTTAATTTCGGAAACTTGAGTATATAACCGGGTGTCTAGAAAACTCAGATCTTGGATCTCTGATCTGAAAAGATTGGGTCATTGATTTAAAGTGGACATTTCAGGCATCTTAGTTATTCAGGAGTAAAATTAAAGTACTCCTGGAAAGATAAAGGTGAATTTGAGAATTCACTTTCCAAAGTTATCTTGTGCACACATTTTTTAACTACCAAAGTGAAGTGAAATAACTGTTTTTTGACCATTTATAGAACTAAAACTTTAGGACATGATTGATTAAACTGTTGATTCATAGTAAAGCTGTATTAAGCTTAACAAACAGCTTAACCATTTTGTCACAATAACTAATATACCTGGCTTATTATGCACAAAAATACACTAAAAAGATCCACTATTGTATTCAATATAAAACATTGTGTTTATTACAATGTACACTAATATGAATTACGAGTTGTATGTATTTATTATAGGGACAATTTTTGTATATCCAGATTACATTCCATCTATGTCTGTATTATTTGGATATTATTGTTTTATTGTTGTTATTATTATTATTATTATTATTATCATTATTTTATCATTATTATTATTATTATTATTATTATTATTATGTTATCCCTTTGCCCTTGGGATGCTTTTTGTATTGTTCCAGGTGATACTGTAGTTATTCAGTACTATATTTACATAGAACTCAGCAAAACATCTTACTTCCATTATCTAATACTGTACAGTATATTGACTTTGGTAGTTATTCCAGTCATATCGTCAAGCATGTGCCTTCCTAGACGTAGCCTAGGTGTAGCCTTCGGACATCTTCACTGACGCCATCCATAGGCCTGTAGAAATGGCAATTGGTTAGGCTGATATGATCGATAATGTAAAAACGCAAAATTGCACGTAGCTGACGTCACGCATGACTGGTCACCTTGAAAAACCTTACCATGTCTATTTCAGGCGATGCCAAAATGATCGATGAAGCGATCATCTGCGTACCTCGTAGCAATTTTGATATATCGTGCGAACAAAAATACGGAGAAAGAAAGAAAAATAAGAAAAAAAGATGATGATCCTGACAATAACAAAAGGTGATCCGCTCGAGAGCTGATCACCAATAAAAACTGGTCAAATAGTTCTTTTAAAGATAAGGTTAAATTCACATGGAGAATTGTACTGAAGTGAAATGGCTGTGTTCATTTTCACAATGCATGGGCCAGTAAACATACACAACATCAATATTGACAATACTTTTCTATACAATCTGCCAAATGAAAACCCAGCGAAGCATTGGATTCAGTTGTATATAATGTAATGTAAATTTAGATATTACATACAACAGGAACTAATAACCGTTCTCTTCTCACTTCTGCAGCAATGGAAGTATCAAACATTGCATGGACTACGGAGCTTTATACCGTGAAACAGATTATGTCCAAGGTCACATTACCCACGTTCTCAAGGGTGGAAACGGCTTATTTTGGGGAGAAAAACTTGGAATCATTCTCAGCAGGCCAGGTAAGCTAACAGATTCTTTTTAGCCCTCATAAAAATGATTATTCTATTATCCGGATTTGTATGTACTTGGGAATAGGCCTACTGACAATTGCAGGGAGGGGCTGAAGGTACAGTGTGAGGGCGCTGGCATGGGAAATGAGGTAATAGGAAGTGATTTCTAACTACTTTAGTGTAATTATTTTATTCAGAAATTTTTTAATTACAGACACAAACATTTTAACTGGGAAAAGGTGCACCCTTAATTCCCATAGATACACCACTGAAATTACCCCAAACAATTCAATTACTGACAGAAACACAGAATGTTTCAGTCAATAAGTCATTTTTCAATCAGTTAATTATGGACGTCAAAAAAAAAAAAGTTCTATTGTGTTGATATAACATGTTTGAACAGCTAAAGTAGGCCTACCTAACTACTGTAGCTTGAGTACAATACTTTTTAAATGCTATCTCTGTAAATAAATATCTCTGGATTGATAAATAAAAATTACTGTATCACAATAGAAATATAGCAACATGCTTCTTTTGAAACCTCCAGTTCAAAACATATCGGGGTCAATTTTTCTTCATAACCATAGTTTGCTTGTGTTTCAGGGATAAAAATCTACAAATATTCTGATATTTTTCCCACTCAAAAACAACTCAAAAATTGTATTTACACCTGTATCACAGTTCCATTATGCCATTGGTACATTTTTTTGCCATTAGATGCAAATAAATTAACACAGGTTGCATCAACACAGGTTTTATGGGTTATTGATACGAGGCAACAGCGTCGTGTAATAGCTGTGGATAAACTGGGAAATCACATAAGCATTCCTTTTAAGAGCCCTGTGCGTTTCCAGATTCTTGGCAAGGTAGATGAAGGTGAGATTTCACTGAACACTATTAGAATTTATGATCATGTAGTTTTTGATGATGGAACTTTTAACACTGCAATTTGTATAATATACTAACAACAACAACAGATAAATTTTTTATATGATTTACATTATTACCCCAGTTAACCCCTATGGAACATATCCTCAGATCATTTTATATGCAGATAGGCATTGGATTCTACCTGATACCCACTAACTTTTACTCCTGGGTGGAGAGATACAGTAATGTGGATAAACAGCTTTGCCCAAAGGACTACTCAAGAAGAATGCACAGTGGGGTATTCTAACCCCTGACCTCAAGTATCAAAGTCCCAACTGCAACCATTGTTCCAGCCACTCTTCATCATTACCACCACCACCACCACCATTATCATTATTAGTAACTCATTCATTTGTGTTTGTTAGAAGAAGATCCAAAAACTCTAGATGAGTTTTTCCGAGAGAAAGAACTACCCATCAAAGTCAAGTTTAATGTAGAGGACATGAGTTCATTAACTCTAGATGGTGCTTCTAGGCAGGCAAGCTGGTTTGAAGAGCTTACACTCACTACTAAGCATGATCTTCCATACATAATGGCAGTTTGTGCAACGAAAGGTAAGTTTACATAATCATTTTTAGTAAAAGGAAAATGATGGTAAGTGGACCAAAAAACAGCAGTGCAAAAGTTGGAGAAAACATTTATAAATACCGTAATTTCCCCAAATAACCAGGTATAATTTGATACATATTGGTCGTACATCTCATTTCGTCATTTCTTTATTTTTTTCCCTTTGGAACTGACTTCAATGGAGGGGAGAGGAGTAGAAATGCCTCCAAATAATCTTATAACCCACCAATGATTTGTTACGAGTTCTTTTGTTGGCCCAGTATCATCACTTCAAATTGAAAGTGGTTTTGAAAACTGGTTGTCTTGTTCAGGGAACATTGATTTGTGAAACACTTTCACTGTCTGAGAGTGCCTTCTTAAAATTTAATCACCTCAGCCACAATCATGACACTGAGGTGTGGACACCTTTCAGGAACTTTGGACCTATCACACAGGGGATATCTGGGCTGCCAACAGTGCAACATACCTTTAAAACATAACAGCAGTTACACAAAATCAAATAGAATATAAAAAATTTTGTTGGGTGATGCAAAATACTAAAATTGTTTATCAAAGAATTGTTAGTAGAATGAGGGCATCTAACATTCAAATTTCTATTTTCAGATACAATTCAACCGGATATACAGTGTTTGCCTGTTTATCTACAAGAAGAATTCTCAATTGGTTATAGTTTGAACAAGTCCCAAAGTGATAATAGCACAACTGACTGGTTTTACTTCAAAAAGCATTTTCAAAATTTAGTAGATCAGTTGGTAGACTTCAACGATTATTTGGGAAACCCAGGTAAATTTGTTAATTTTTTCGTGTATGGATACAGTAGTGAACGATAAATTTAATTCCATACAATATTTCAATAGCCAAATCTTTTCTACTTCTCCTGCTTGATCAAAAGGAAGCAACAGGTCTCTCACCCTGCATCATTATCCAACCATTGCAGAGACGTAGCCTGCAGACCGTTATTCTGTTTAGTATCTTATCCATATCTTTAAGACCTACTAGTAGCACTTTTAACAGCAAACTGCACTACCATAATAAAATCTTATCAATAAAAAGATTAAATATAATTAAATGTAGGTCTACACTAAAATATGTTGACATAAAATATCAAGATGGTCTTGAACTACATGAAATAAAACATTAAAAAAACTATATTTCCAACCCTCAGATTTTATAGAAATGTTTTACTTGGAAATCCATACTTGATCACCTTGTTAACTCTGGGAAGAATATGCAAATGAGCTACAAAATACAGAGAAAGGAATTTGTATTTATTCATTTATGTAGGCAAAGATTGCCAATATAGAGTATTTATCATTGCCGTATTCATAGGTGGCAAATACTTTTCACAAGAGCAATATACATATATAGAGTACTACAGTGTTACATCGCGATACCACGTGATACTACTATGTTGCTATCATTGCAAATACAATTGACAATACTTTTCTATACAATCTGCCAAATGAAAACCCAGCGAAGCATTGGATTCAGTTGTATATAATGTAATGTAAATTTAGATATTACATACAACAAAAGGAACTAATAACCGTTCTCTTCTCGCTTCTGCAGCAATGGAAGTATCAAACATTGCATGGACTACGGAGCTTTATAACGTGAAACAGATTATGTCCAAGGTCACATTACCCACGTTCTCAAGGGTGGAAACGGCTTATTTTGGGGAGAAAAACTTGGAATCATTCTCAGCAGGCCAGGTAAGCTAACAGATTCTTTTTAGCCCTCATAAAAATGATTATTCTATTATCCGGATTTGTATGTACTTGGGAATAGGCCTGACAATCGCAGGGAGGGGCTGAAGGTACAGTGTGAGGGCGCTGGCATGGGAAATGAGGTAATAGGAAGTGATTTCTAACTACTTTAGTGTAATTATTTTATTCAGAAATTTTTTAATTACAGACACAAACATTTTAACTGGGAAAAGGTGCACCCTTAATTCCCATAGATACACCACTGCCATTACCCCAAACAATTCAATTACTGACAGGAACACAGAATGTTTCAGTCAATAAGTCATTTTTCAATCAGTTAATTATGGACGTCAAAAAAAAAAAAAAAAAAAAAAAGTTCTATTATGTTAATATAACATATATGAACAGTTAAAGTAGACCTACCTAACCTACTGTAGCTTGAGTACAATACTTTTTAAATGCTATCTCTGTAATTATAAATATCTCTGGATTGATAAATAAAAATTACTGTATCACAATAGATATAATAGCAACATGCTTCTTTTGAAAACTCCAGTTCAAAACATATCTGGGTCAATTTTGTTTCATAACCATAGTTAAAATGCTTGCGTTTCAGGGATAAAAATATACAAATATTTCCCCCTCAAAAACAACTCAAAAATTGTATTTACACCTGTATCACAGTTCCATTATGCCATTGGTAGATTTTTTTTGCCATTAAATGCAAATAAATTAAACACAGATTGCATCAACACAGGTTTTATGGGTTATTGATACGAGGCAACAGCGTCGTGTAATAGCAGTGGATAAACTGGGAAATCACATAAGCATTCCTTTTAAGAGCCCTGTGCGTTTCCAGATTCTTGGCAAGGTAGATGAAGGTGAGATTTCACTAAACACTATTAGAATTTATGATCATGTAGTTTTTGATTTTGGAACTTTTAACACTGCAATTTGTATAATATACTAACAACAACAACGGATAAATTTTTTATATGATTTACATTATTATCCCAATTAACCCCTATGGAACATATCCTCAGATCATTTTATATGCAGATAGACATTGGATTCTACCTGATACCCACTAACTTTTACTCCTGGGTGGAGAGATACAGTAATGTGGATAAACAGCTTTGCCCAAAGGACTACTCAAGAAGAATGTACAGTGGGGTATTCTAACCCCTGACCTCAAGTATCAAAGTCCCAACTGCAACCATTGTTCCAGCCACTCTTCATCATTACCACCACCACCACCATTATCATTATTAGTAACTCATTCATTTTGTGTTTGTTAGAAGAAGATCCAAAAACTCTAGATGAGTTTTTCCGAGAGAAAGAGCTACCCATCAAAGTCAAGTTTAATGTAGAGGACATGAGTTCATTAACTCTAGATGGTGCTTCTAGGCAGGCAAGCTGGTTTGAAGAGCTTACACTCACTACTAAGCATGATCTTCCATACCTAATGGCAGTTTGTGCAACGAAAGGTAAGTTTACATAATCATTTTTAGTAAAAGGAAAATAATGGTAAGTGGACCAAGAAACAGCAGTGCAAAAGTTGGAGAAAACATTTATAAATACCGTAATTTCCCCAAATAACCAGGTAATAATTTGATACATATTGGTCGCACATCACATTTCGTCATTTCTTTATTTTTTTCCCTTTGAAACTGACTTCAATGGAGGGGAGAGGAGTAGAAATGCCTCCAAATGATCTTATAACCCACCAATGATTAGTTACGAGTTCTTTTGTTGGCCAAGTATCATCACTTCGAATTGGAAGTGGTTTTGAAATCTGGTTGTCTTGTTCAGGAAACATTGATTTGGGAAAAACTTTCACTGTCTGAGAGTGCTTTCTTAAAATTTGATCACCTCAGCCACAATCATGACACTGAGGTGTGGACACCTTTCAGGAACTTTGGACCTATCGCAGGGGATATCTGGGCTGCCAACAGTACAACATACCTTTAAAACATAACAGCAGTTACACAAAATCAAATAGAATATAAAGAATTTTGTTGGGTGATGCAAAATACTAAAATTGTTTATCAAAGAATTGTTAGTAGAATGAGGGCCTCTAACATTCAAATTTCTATTTTCAGATACAATTCAACCGGATATACAGTGTTTGCCTGTTTATCTACAAGAAGAATTCTCAATTGGTTATAGTTTGAGCAAGTCCCAAAGTGATAATAGCACAACTGACTGGTTTTACTTCAAAAAGCATTTTCAAAATTTAGTAGATCAGTTGGTGGACTTCAACGATTATTTGGGAAACCCAGGTAAATTTGTTAATTTTTCGTGTATGGATACAGTAGTGAACGATAAATTTAATTCCATACAATATTTCAATAGCCAAATCTTTTCTACTTCTCCTGCTTGATCAAAAGGAAGCAACAGGTCTCTCACCCTGCATCATTATCCAACCATTGCAAAGACGTAGCCTGCAGACCGTTATTCTGTTTAGTATCTTATCCATATCTTGAAGACCTACTAGTAGCACTGTTAACAGCAAACTGCACTACCAGAATAAAATCTCATAATAAAATCTTATCAATAAAAAGATTAAATATGATTAAATGTAGGTCTACACTAAAATATGTTGACATAAAATATCAAGATGGTCTTGAACTACATGAAATAAAACATTCAAAAAACTATTTCCAACCCTCAGGATTATGTTTTACTTGGAAATCTATACTTGATCACCTTGTTAACTCTGGGAAGAGTATGCAAATGAGCTACAAAATACAAAGAAAGGAATTTGTATTTATTCATTTATGTAGGCAAAGATTGCCAATATAGAGTATTTATCATTGCCGTATTCATAGGTGGCAAATACTTTTCACAAGAGCAATATACATATATAGAGTACTACAGTGTTACATCGCGATACCACGTGATACTACTCTGTTGCTATCATTGCAAATACAATCAACTGGATGCCATTTTCCCCACTGACAAACAATTGATCCCAATTTCTAACAAAATTATTAAGATGTTGTATCTTAGTTTGTTTTTGTAAATTTTAATTGATGATTAAATGTGTGTTCGATAACTAATATAATGCAAGCTTTTCTGTTTTTAGTACATTTTGATGGTAAAATATTAGATTTTAAAAATGCTATTTCAGAAAGCCTATGAAGTCATTCAGGCGTAACGAACGGTAACCAACGTCTGGTTGGCGACAGAGGGAGCCGCCTGGCGTT